GGCCCTAAAGCTCGCAACGATCGGCGTGCTCCATCACGCTTAAGCGGCGCCAAGCGGCCTCAGCGGAGACTGCTATTCTATAATATCTGAGTTCAATCCAATCCTATAGCTCTGGCAGACCCCATCTCTGCATCATCGTCGGGCTGGGCACGCGATGGGAGGCTGGGTCGAGGGGGCTCTGGTGAGCTGCTGCTGCTGGCATGCTCAGTCGGGCGGACCTGCGCGCGCGCAGAGGTGTCGCCAAACAGAGGAGGGGAGCTAGACCGCACGAAACGCACAGGCTGCTTAAAATTGGGCTGCATCCGCTCGGCGCTCACTTGCCCAACGTCTCGACCCAGCACGACGGTTCCTCCTCTAGCCACCCCGGTGGCGCGATGCCCGTGTGGACCACGCCCGCGCCCTCGTTGCGGGCGGACGTGAGCACCACCTTGCGGAGGCTCCACGTCCGCATGGCGATGATGAGCTTGGTCTCCGTCGACTTGTAGCATTTCTCGAGCCTGATGAGCGAGACGTCCGTCTCGATGTGCTCCTTGGAGATCGCGCCCTCGCCCTCGCCGCCCGCGTTCACCTCCTGGAGGTAGTCGCCGATGGCCGTCTTCATCTCCCCCCCGATGTCGCACGCCATGAGCGCCTCCAGGAAGTCGATCACCAAGCCCGCGGTGGGGGGGCCCAGCTCCTGCAGCGCCTTCTTCGAGTCGGCCGCCCCACGCAGGCTCTCCACCTTGTTGCGGAAGGCCTCGACCCCATCGCCCACGCCGATGATCACCTTGTGCGCGGTCGGGAATGATCGTGTCGATCGTGGCCGCCGTCGTCATCCTGGAGCGATGGGGCGTTTGCAGCATCAATTTGGCCATTGTCAAGAGAAGGTCCGCGAGGTTCTTGTCCTTGGAGCTCCGCACTTTGTCCGCGTGCTTGCCTCGCCTGCGGCGCCCGCCGCGACGGCGGCGCCGAACCTCCTCGCCCTCGCCCTCCTTGTCCTCGTCCATGCGGTCGTCCTCGCCCTCCGCCCTGGGGGTCAGGATCGCCCCCCCTGGGCCCTTCGCCCGCTGGGCTGGCCTGCCCGTGCCTTCGCCTTTGGGTTGCCTGCCACCGCTCCCAGACCCCGCTGAGGACCGCGGGATGCGCCAGGACGCCCTCGCCACCGCCCCCCCGCCGGCGCTGGCTCCGCCGGCCATCCTGAACGGGTCGCTCAGGAGGAGCAGGTTCAGCAGGTGGTACTGGGAGTGCAACAGGGAGGGCGGGCACAGCACTCGCCCTTGTGGTAGTTGTCCCTGGAGCGGTGGCCCGAGAAGTAGCCCCCGCCCTGGGTCGCGGTCTCCGCGCCCGCGCAGGCAGACTCGCAGGGCTCGGCGGAGGCGGAGTCAGCAATCGGAAGCAAGCCTGCCGAGTCTGCTCACGTGAATCAGCAGTGTCTGAAGGCGCCCACGAAGTCCACGATGCGCTCGCCGCAGGTGGCGAGGGCCTCGCGGGAGTAGCAGCGCCCGCGGCGGCTGCAGGCGTAGCCGCCGGCTGGGGCCACGAACCAAATGGCGACGGCGGAAGGTGGGATGCAACATGGGCACGAAATAATTCAAGACTGTCGAAGGCGTCCTGGCACTGGCCCTTATCAGAGACCTGGGAATACGGACAGAGTCTAGATTCAGTAGGCACGTAAACATGTTCATGACGAGTAAGGTTAGGTAAACACCGAGCTTGATGCCATGATCGACGGTGGTGGCGGACCGCGTGGTCGACGTTGGCGAATACAGTACCACACATCAGGCACTTGTTGTCTAGTGTAACTGTGGTTAAGATAGGTGGCCACCCGTGCCCTGGCGCCCTGGACTGGACCTGGTGGATGATCAACTTGTGGAGGGTCTGGAATTTCATTGTGCACCCTTCCAGGTTGCATTGTAGCATCAGTTCCTCCTCGTCAGAGTCGTCGGCAATAATCGTGTCGCTCGGTAGTTGTGCGGCGATCGTTGAAGACTGAGGTGGAGCCCACGATTTCGATAAGAATCCAGCCCGTAGCGCACGAGGGTCACACGCCAGGAAGGCGTCCGTCACGCTTGGTTCATGAAATAGGTCGGCCACTCGTGGGGGGTCCCATTGCTCTCGTAGACTCTCTCCAACAGGATGCTCAAGAAGGCATTGTAGGTCTTCGTGTAATTGCCTTGCCCAGGGGTGTACACTAGACTCGGTGTTAAAAGTTCCGTCCTCGCGTATAGGAGACGACACGCGACCTGCTCCAACCGTCCGTTCAAACGTGCACTGTCCCAATACAGCGGCAAGGAGATGTGAATGGTGTGACGGTTCCTTTACAATGTCTTGCCACCATGTTAGTCGGCGGACGAGGAGTTCGATCGAAGTAGGGGCCATAGACCGTATTCAAAGACACGTTTAGTAGTCCAAGACCGATGTACGTCGTCGTCAGATACGGCGCGTGCCCTGCCCAACGCCATGGCTCGAAGCTTCTTCCCCAGGCTGCTGTCTAACCTCGTGGTCTCGCTGGCTAGCAGGCAGTGCGACTCAAGTCCCGACCACGCTCGTCCAGCCACATTCGCCGGGAACATCATGCGCTTACATCTGATGGCTGCAGGGGAGGTGAGGAAACGAGACAGCATGCACCAACCAATATTTGCAGACCTCACTCTCTCCGTAATCTCCCTCGTGTTGGACCCCCCCTCCGAAACATATCCTCCAAGGTGGATGAGTTGAGTAACGGCTTGACCACTAATGCGCTGCTCCGCTAGCTTGGTGGCTTGTGCTGACGAAAGCTTAATCATCGTGTCCTGCTTGCTAACGTTCTGGGCGTACCCGTCCTCTCCTAGCTCCTCGTTAAGAACACTATTGTCGATGCAGTCTATCGTAAGGGCCTGGCGGGCGGTGCCGTCGGGGATTATGTAAAACTTAAGGAGGTCGTCAACAAAGCTCCCGAGAGAGAGGTCCTGGCGTTTGTGTGTAATCGGGCACGTGGCGTGAAAAATCGGACCTGTGATCATGTTCATGCGGGACGTCCAACGAAAGACCGATCCATAGAAGGTGCCCATGAAAAATCGGGCTCGTTGGAGTCGCCCATTCGCCCTCCCGACGCAGGTCGAAGACGCGCTGGCCTGTCCGAAGCGTCGATGCGAATAACAGCCTTCTGTCGGTGCATGGCTAACATGTTCCTAAAGTGCCGTGAGCCACACCGCCAGTCCTGCGTCTCCAGTAACTTGGCTGTCTCACCAGCGCCGAACGCATTGCGCATGTCATATGATTTAAGCACAAAGGATAACTTGCATGTTCTGAGTTTCCATTCCTGAATTTTTGCAATAGCCATAAGGCCTTCCCTGCGACGCTTACGAACTCCTCCATAGGCCCAATCAGGAAAGATACCCTCAAAACCATAATCAAGAACTCCGACTCGTAAATACAGTCTCCACCACGGGCAGAAGCAGTGGATCATCCTCAAGCACGCGTTAATGTCCTTTATGGGGTCCCCCGTGGGCTCCTTGTTCTTCTTAGGTATCATGATCCCGTGGCTAGTATATGCCTGTAGTGGTAGGTGTTGGGCACGACGGACATGTGCCAACAAGTTGGTTAGCACGAGGGGGGCCTCCGAGCTGACGTCGTTGCCGAAATCACCTAGTATTCTCCTATCGGGGCGCCGTACTCTGGACCTGCTGTAGTCCCATCCGAGGCCAAAAGGGTAGTCAGAATCTTCATGCCCAAGACCGACCGTCGGAAGCCCAGGTTTACTGAGGTGCCTCGGATTCAACAGCATCATGGTCACCTCGGAGGGCCAGGACCACGGGGGACAGTAGCGTCGGTGTCGTTGTCGAAAGACTCTCGATTGTATGAACCTCAGATCGTCCAGGGCCTGTGTATAATCTATTTCCGAGGGAGGCCCACAACTTATCCCAATCGGCTGTACCTGCTCCACGGGGGTCGCTAACAACTTTAATACGGCATCGTGATCCCGAATCCACATGCTATCAGGAACTTCGTGAGCAGACAACCCTCCTTCTACACCCGGCTTAGCAAGAGCACCAAGATAAGCATCAGCACAAGGACGAGCGGAGGGGAGGGAGAGGTATGAACGTTTGCGTGTGCCAGTACGTGTACCCGCGCGCACTCGTGCCAGCTCTCCCACTCGTGCCATCTCCCTCCTTGACCACGCCACCTGTATCTCGGACTCCACACTGTGTCTCCACCACGCATTTTTCCACCTCTCGAATATTTTTGATCTTCTGGGTGATATTCCTAAGCTCTGTTGAGTCGGATGCAAGCCCTTGTTCACGTAATGATGCTCGTTGTCGTAGTAATGACATCCTGTGCTTACGATCATCTCGAATCCACTGGGGTGCGGAAGCATCTTTAGAATAGTACTTCTCTGCGCTCTTTCGAATAAGAAAGAGAGGCGGGGTTCTCATCTTCGAGGATCGTGGCGAGAAGGGGGGCCGCCTGGGTAAGAGAGGCGTGAAGGTCGTGCAGAAAATCACGACGAGAGTATCCTACTTGACAAGGCCAGTGACGATGAGGATGAGGAGGGCGAGGTGATGACATGTGGACGATGACGGGAGAAGAAGGGGGAAGAAGAGGAGGAGAACGAGGATGAGAATGAGCAGGAAGGAGCGAGGTCAACGGAAGGAACACACGATACCTCAACCCGTACACGCTGGCGGGCCGTGCAAGCGGGGCAATGGAGCGGGAAGAGCAGCCCTCACAGTAGTGCGATACGCAGTGGGGGAAGCACGGCGAGTAAGGACGATGCCTTCACCTACATCGTCGACTTGAATGGTATTCAGACGATGGTCCCGCTTAGTCATCCTCCTCCACCTGCTCGTCATCCTCACTGCTCGTCCTCGCCGTCCACCTTCTCCTCCTCCTCCTCCTCCTCCTCCCCCCCTCCTCCTCCTCCTCCTCCTCCTCCTCCTCCTCCTCCTCCTCCTCCTCCTCCTCCTCCTCCTCCTCCTCCTCTTCCTCCGTCGAAACCTCTCAACTAATTCATCGTTCCACGTTTCTCCGCAGCGGGAGGCCTGATCATGTCGCAGGAGGCGAGGCAGGTGCCGCGGTGGTACAACAAGGCACCTCGGGAACCACCCGGAGCCGAGAGCCGACGTCGGGCGTCCTGGCCATACTCCTCATCAAAATCGTCATCATAACAGTCATCAGCAGCAACATCGCGATTGATAACGTTACCATCAACATCACCAACCACAACATGTACATAAATATCGTCATCCTGATCAACCGCGCAAATATGATGCGCATAATCATCGGTAGCACCATCACCATCATAATAAATACGACGACCACCTCCATCACAATCACCACAAACAATATCAGGTGAATGATTTCCACATTACTAAACACACGCGCTGGCATACTTTGGACGGAAACCAAACATGAGGGATCCACGAACCCGGTAGGGAACTGGAGTCAAATTGTCGTCTGACGCGCGTGCTGCAATTTCCGTATGCTTGTCTGCAGCCGCTACCGCCTGCACGTCCTGCTTATCCTCCTCCTCCTCTTCATGCTTCTCCCTCCTCCTCCTCCTGCTCCGTAGCCATTTTGGCTCAAGCCCTGCTTGGGCCCTTCTTGGCCCAAACGGAGTTGAGCCCCGTAGCCTGTTTGGCTCAGTGGCGCCGCCCCGCGCGTGGGATTTCCTTCGGGGCGCGCGGCGGGCGGTCGTGTGGGTCACGTTGTTGGCGGTGGCACGCGACGCAAAATTCAACATTCAGTCTGTGCCCAGAGGGGGCCGTCCTCTCCCCCCTCGCCTCCATGGGCCTCCATGGTGGCGGCGGCTCGGTGCTGCTGCCCGGCGGGAGCCAACGGCTGGTAGAGCCAGCAGTCGTGGAGGAGTTCGACGTCGGTGGCAAGGGCTCGCTGCCCGATGGCGGCTGCTGTTGCGCGACATGTGGTTGTGCGACGTGGAGCCCGTGGCGCGGGCAACATCAGCAGATATGCGTCATCGTCGTGAGGCTGCACCAATGGGTGTCAGGTGTTCCTGCGGCTTCCAAGGGCACCACCTCGGGAAGCCCTGACAGAGTGACTGGGGCCCTGCAGGGCCAGGTTCAAAGCCCTGGCCCTCGACCCCGTCCTCTCGTGCAGCGGGCTGCTGCGGCGACGACTCGCGCGGTGGTCGCTGGCACTGCTTGGATCATTCATCCTTGAGCGTTTGCAGCTTTCTCATAACGCGAACTTCGTGACGTCTGCCCGTTCGGGGCCTCTGCCAAAGCTCAACCTTGAATGCCCCCCGCTGGGGTCGCGGCCACGTCAATAGGGGGAATCAGCCTGCCGTAGGGACTTACCGCTGTGGACTGCCTGCTGTGGATCCCAGGGACCGAGCAGTAAGACGGAACCCGCCGAAAGCGGATTTCGAGGGTCGGCGCTGGCCATACCCCGTGGCTGCGCCTGCAGCGCCGCCGCTTTCGCGCTTTCAGGGCTCCACCACCGGCCTAAAGAGCCCACATGGACCTCCAAAAGTGAATATCAATGTAGATACTTATTGGCTTGTGGTCAGCATTCCCCCTCACACTCCCGGTTCGCACTGCCAGACCTCTGGGCTGTGGATTATCCTCCCATGTGACTCTGATCCCTTTGGCTGACTATGCTTGTCGCTTGCCAGTGCCGATCGAACAATAATCCTGCTGTCGTTTGCTGCTGCTCGGTTTCTGTGCACCCCCGCTGTTCTTCTCCTGAGCGCTGGGGGACGCTGGATGATGGGCCTGTTTTCCACCACCACCACCATAAGTTGGAGGGGGGAAGGAGGTGGAGGAGGAGGAGGAGGAGGAGGAGGAGGAGGAGGTGGAGGAGGGGGACCCCCTCCCCCTCCAACTTATGGTGGTGGTGGTGGAAAACAAGCCCATCACCGCTGTTCTTCTCCGGAGCGCTGGGGGACGCCGGAGGCCTCGGCCCCTGCCCCGCTTCGGTGGACCTCCGGCCACGGCGGCGACGACGATATGGCAGCGGCGGCGGCGACGACGACGACGGCGGCCGCATGTGGCGAACGCGGCGCCCCCCACCAAAAGTCCCCCCCGCCCTCCTCCTCCTCCTCCTCCTCCTCCTCCTCCTCCTCCTCGTCCTCCTCCTTCTCCCTCCTCCTCCTCCTCCTCCTCCTCCTCCTCCTCCTCCTCCTCCTCCTCCTCCTCCTCCCCCCCCCCTCACCCGGACCCCTCCTGCCCGGAGCCCGCCCCTGGACTGACTACCTACCAGACCACCCCAACCCAACCCGAAGACCCGAATTTCGGGTTGGGGGGGGTAAGGGTTCCACATGTGTTTTTTCTATGTTTCCTGACCCCCCCCCACTAGAAATCGAGGGCAAATCTGAGCCTTCGGGTTGGGTTGGGGTGGTTTGGTGGGCGGTGAGCGTTGGAGCCGTGCCAGGCCGTGGCAACGAGCACCTGTGTGCAAAAATCGGCGGCGACGGGCACTGCAGGCGGGCACCGGGGATCTTCGAGCGCCGCGTCCTCTCGGCCATCACGTCCTGGCACGGGCGCCGGCAGGCGTCAGCACAGAGAGTGCCGTGGGGGCAGCGCCGTCGCAGGCCCCGGTGGTGCAGCAGCGATCGACTTCCCAGGATATCCGGAGGATTGGCTTCTTCGGTCCCAGCTTTTTCTGTTTCCAGCCCTGCGATGTTTTCGCAAGTCTCGGCCCCGCTGCCGAGACCCAACTCAACAAGAAGTGGAGGCGGCACGGAAAGCTGCCCGGAGGAGGTTGTACCTCGCGCGCCTGCTGCACCTCGACTCGCGCGTGGCCTCCCCCGAATTCTTCGGACGCGTACATGAAACATCTGAACATCCGCTGGCCCCCTTGCGGGGCCATCAGGCTGCGAGGGTCAGGCTTGTTTCCAGTTTCCATTGTTACAGTGCTGCTGCTTTCTGATTCCTACTCTAAATTGTTACTGTCCGCGCGAGGGGGGGAGCCGAAAACCACCCTGGTTAGCGTCCCCCGGGAGGGTTCTCAGAATTCCTGGGGGGGTAAAAATTAATACCCCTCACGTAGATCGGCGGGGTCAGGGTCCAAAAACACCAGGGATTTGCCACATTTCTGAAATTCGGTGGCACCCCTCACGCAGATCGGCGGGGTCAGAGTTCAAAAACTACATTTCTGAAATTCGCTGGCACCCCTCACGCAGACCAGCGGGGTCAGGGTCCAAAAACACAAGGGATTTGCCACATTTCTCAAAAACACTAGGGATTTGCTACATTTCTGAAATTTCCTTACACCCCTCACGCAAATCGGCAGGGTCATGGTCCGAGAGAGCGTGATCCACCGCCGCTTTACTGTGGAAAATTGCCGCCCTTTTCCTCTGGAACCCGGGGGTCCCCCCCCCCCCTCCGAAAATCTCACCCCCCCTGCTAGACCCCCCCACCCCTCCCCCCCCTTTCCCCGGCAACCCCCCCCTCTCCCCTACCCCCCCCCTCTCCCCTACCCCCCCCCCCCCCCTCGAGCTCGAAAACCTGGGGGGTCACTACCGGTTCAAACTCCCCCCCCCCCCCCTCGAAAACCGGAGGGGGGGTCACTGTTCCCACTGAGCTGTCCCACTGTTCCCACCACTGTCCCCACTGTCCCCACCACTGTCGCCACTGTACCTCTGTCCCATTGTCCCACCGCCGTCCTCGCCACCGCCTTCACAACTGTGTGTACCCTCCACTGTCCTACTGTTTCCACCACATTCCCACTGTCCCCACACCACTGTCCCCCACCACCACCGTCCCCACCACTGTCCCACTGTCCCCACTGTTCCCACCATTGTCCTCACCATTGTCCCCACCACTACCGTCCCCACCACTGTCCCACTGTCCCCACCACTGTCCCGCTGTCCCCTCACCACTATCTCCACCACCACCGTCCCCACCACTGTCCGCCCCCCCCTCGGTTTTCGAGGAGGGGGGCGGGGGGGGGGGTTCGAACCGGTAGTGACCCCCCCCGGTTTTCGAGCTCGAGGGATGGGGGGGGGGTCGAACCGGTAGTGACACCCCCCTTTTCATGATGATGAGGGGGGGGGGGGAGGGGTTCGAACCCGTAGTGACCCCCCCCAGTTTTCCACAGGGGGGGGGGGGGGAGTTCGAACCGGTAGTGACCCCCCCCCCCCCGGTTTCCGCCAGCAGCGGTAGAACACGTTCTTTCCATGGTCCAAAAACATTTGGAATTTGCAACATTTCTGAGATCCGGTGGCACCCCTCACGCAGATCGGCGGGGTCAGGGTCCAAAAACACAAAAAGGATTTGCCACATTTCTGAAGTTTGGTCGCACCCCTCACGCAGATCGGCGGGGTCAGGGCCCAAAAACACTAAGGATTTGCTACGTTTCTGAAATTCGGTGGCACCCCTCATGCAAATCAGCGGGGTCAGGGTCCAAAAACTACATTTCTAAAATTCGCTGGCACCCCTCACGCAGATCGGCGGGGTCTGGGTCCCAAAACACAAAGGATTTGCTGCATTTCTAAAATTCGGTGGCACCCCTCACGCAGATCGGCGGGGTCAGGGTCCAAACACACAGAGGATTTGGTGCATGTTTAAATTCGGTGGCACCCCTCACGCAGATCGGCGGGGTCAGGGTCCAAAAACACTAAGGATTTGTCAGATGTCTGAAATTGCCTGGCACCCCTCACGCAAATCGGCAGGGTCAGGGTCCAAAAACTCTTTGGAATTTGCTACATTTCTAAAAATTCGGTGGCCCTCCTCACGCAGATCGGCGGGGTCAGGGTCCAAAAACTCTTTGGATTTTCCGCATTTTTGAAATTCGGTGGCACCCCTCACGCATTTCGGCGGGGTCAGGGTCCAACAACACAAAGGATTTGCTACATTTCTGAAATTCAGTGGCACCCCTCACGCAGATCGGCGGGGTCAGGGTCCAATATGATCGACCGAATATAAAACAGAAATGTAACGCATGGCAACGTTTTCAAAGACACCTGATTGGATGACGGGCAAATTCAATGCTGAGTGCATCGATCTTGATGTACCCTGCCGAGGACTGTGCTGTGCTGCGCCGTGCTGAATTGCCACGAAAGGCATACGCATATGGGGCCGCAGAGGGCAAAAACGGGGCCACTGAGGGCAGCAGCGGGCCCACAAACGGCAGCGAGGTGGCCGCGAAGGGCGACACCGGGGCCACGAACGGCATGCATATGGGGCCACGACGGGCGCGAACGAGCGGGGGCCACGAAAAGCATACGTATATGGGGTCACAGACCGCGACAGCGGGGCCACATGAGAGCAGCAAGGGGCCAGAAAGGCCGGCGAGGGGGCCACGAAGGGCGACAGCGGGCCACGAAGGGCATGCACATGGGACTACGCAGGGCGCGAGCGAACGGGGCCACAAAGGGCATATAATGCGGGGACACAGGGGGCAGCGACGGGGCCACATGAGGTTAGCAGCGGGCCACGAAGGGCAGCGATGGGGCCACGAAGGGCGACACCGGGGCCACGAAGGACATGCATATGGGGCCGCGACGGGCGCGAACGAGCGGGGGCCACGAAGAGCATACGTATATGGGGTCACAGACCGCGACAACGGGGCCACATGAGGGCAGCAAATGGGCCACGAAGGGCAGCGAGAGGGCCACGAAGGGCGACAGCAGGGCCACGAAGGGCATGCACATGGGACCACGTTGTGCGCGTGCGAGCGGAGGCCACGAAGGGCATATAATATTACAATGCGGGGCCACAAAGGGCAGCGACGGAGCCACTGAGGGCAGCAAGCGGCGACTGCAGTCCCTAACGGGCTGGTCGGGCGGGCAGGCCCCGACGGGCGGGTCGACGGGCGGGTAGTTGAAGCGTGAACCCTGCTTGGATCGCCAGGAAATAATTAGCAGGAGCGCGACTCACAAGTAAATCGCGAGGATGTCCAAAGCGAGAGCGCGATTCCTGAGTGTCGAGGAGCGGCATCTGAACAAAGTGTGAGGAAATCTCAAGCGAGAGCGCGATTCTTGAGTAAATCACAAGGAAGTTTCAAGCAACAACCTGCTGTCTTAATCAATGGTGAAGAAATATCAGGCGGGAGCCGTTGTAGTTGCAACTCGGGGGCCAGGGGCGCAGTTTGAACCCCCAGACTTGCTGATAAAAAACGACTGCGAGCCCCGGGAGAAGCACTTCAATTGAAACATACAATGGTCGCCGGAGGCGGGGGGCATCAACTATAATCCCACCAGCCCTCTGGGCGTAGGGGGTTTTAGGAGTTTCCTCTTCCACCACCCTTCTTCACCTTCGTGGAGGGGTTTACCCATCCCCCCATACCCTCTTCCCTGGACCTGGACGGGCGGTGCCGCGACCCAGTGAAGCGTCCAAAACGGCCCCGGCGAGGAAGCCAAAATCATTGGTTTTACAGAAAGGTTTTGGCTCCATGTTGGCTTCTTGGGGGGGGGACGCTAATTGTATCTCCCCACTTGTTTGATCGATGGCCTCCAAGATGGCCCGAAGAGCGCCCCTAAAGCTCCAAAGAGCGCCCCAAGAGGCCCCAAGAGTCGCCCAGACGGCCCCCAGAGGTCTCCAAGAGGCTCCCAAGAGATCCCCAAGAGGCCCCCAAAAGGCTTCAAGAGGATCCCCGGGGCACCCAAAATGCCACCCAGACGCTCCAAGAGGCCCCCCCGAGGCACCCAAGACGCCGAAGAGCCCCCCAGGACCGCCAAGAGACCCCCAAGACGTCCCAAGAGGCCATCAAGAAGCGCCCAAGCGATATCCCAAGAGGCTCGGAGAGGCATCCAAGAAACCTCTGGCCCTTTCGCTCGCCCTCCTCCTCCTGCTCCTCCTTCCTTCTGCTCCTTCTCTTCCTCCTCCTCCTCCGCCTCCTCCTCCTTCTCCTCATCATCATCATTATATTCATATTTCGTCTCCCCACTCCCTCATCCCGTCCACCGCTTTGCTCCCGCACTTCCTGATTACCTCCACTCGCCTGGACATCGTTGCTGGATGGGCTGGTGGGGATATTTTTGGTCAACGGCCTCGTGGAGCGGGTCGAAAGGCGTCCAAACTCTAGCCAGGCCACGACTAGGCAGCGGAAAGCGGAAAGTAAGGCTGGTGGGGATACGCGGAGCGTCCAAAATCATTCTTCCGCAATGATAGATAACCAGCGTATCCCGCCTGGTACTTCATCACCGTTTACTCAAAAATCGCGCTCTCTCGCGGACTTCCTCACACGTGATGCAGGAATCGCGCCTTCGCGTGGGACTTCCTAGCAAGTTATTCAAACGCCTCGCCCTCGACATTCAGGAATCACGCTCTCGGTTTGGCCCTTTTCACGAGCAACTTGCGAATAGCGTTGTCGCTCAAGACTTCCTCGCGATTGGGTAGAACTCGCGCTTCAACAACCCGCAGGCTCGACCTGACCGCCTGGGCCCGCCTTCCCGAACCGACCGCCAGGATCTGCCCGCCTGGTCCGCCCGTCTGGTTCTTCCACGTAGTTTCTGTTCCTGGCCCCCTTCCTGTTAATTTCTCTCGTGTTCCATCGTCCTCACTCCCCCTTCCATTCTTCCTCCCATCCCGTTTTTGAAGGGGCTGGTACAGAGGGTTCGGGATAGACGTGGTAAGTGGCAAGCAAGCACATAGGAACGAACAAACATTAAATTCAAGGCTGTTGTTGCTGTTGTTGGTGTTATTGCTGTCACTGTTGTTGTTGTTGTTGTTGTTGGTGTTGTTGTTGTTGTTGTTGCTGTTGTTGGTGTTATTGCTGTCACTGTTGTTGTTGTTGTTGTTGTTGTTGTTGTTGTTGTTGTTGTTATCGCCCGACCCGCCACCCAGCCCGCGACCCGCCGACGACCCAGCCGCGACCCGCCCGAGGCACACCCGCGACCCACCCACGGCCCAACCCGCCACACGCCCGAGACCCGGCCCGCGACAAACCCGCGACCCCCCCGCGACCTTCCCGCGACCAACCCCGCGACCCGCCCGCAGCCCACCTCGCGACCCACCCGCGACCCACCAGCGACCACCCGCGGCCGACCCACATCTCATCAAAACGGAACAAACGAAAACAGCAGAACCTGCGGAGGGCTCGTTGTATGATTAGTCAGTAATGCTATTCTACTGGCGAAGCTTTTGACGACAAAACGTAATTCAAAAAAATAAACATTTAAACGCCAAACGATCGGTATAGCGTTGGACGAATCTCGGCTGACCGAAGTGCAAATTAAACGCCTGCGGCGGGCTTCTTCAAAGCCTCGCAGACTGCCGACGGCCCGCCGCCTCCTCGCTCTGATCCGCAACCGGTCACCAACACCACCACGATCCTCCCGTCCTCAAGTTCCTACCCCTCCTCCTGCTCCCCTTCCCTTCTCCAGACTGCCGGTGACAACAACAACAACAACAACAACAACAACAACAACAACAACAATTACTAGCACGTGGGGACACACCGTTCTCACCAGTGCCAGGGTTTTCATAGGAGGCGGGCAATACCCCCACTTTGTGGGGGGGCCGGTTCAAGCTCTACCAAATTTCCAAACGACTCTTCGCCACCACCCACACCCAGCTTCCTGCCCTATGACGTTCGGACACTTCACTTCGTGGCATGCGGACGACCGTGGCTACTATTCAGGGCCCCGCGGCCGACGACGACGGCGTGCGCGCGCGAAGAAAAAACGAATGTGTCCCGCATGGTATTATTTGACAGGGATGATGGCCCTGGCAGGTGCGCAACCGTTGTTGCAGAAGTTCGAAAAAGTTGCTCGCAAAAGCCCGTTTGACAGAAATGATTAAAAAGTGTTGGGTTTCCTACGAATCCGCAAGAGCGCGCGGGATGAATTTTGACATTTAAAAACAAAAAAACATTGGTTTTTGATGTTTTTATGTTAAAATCGCTACGAAAACTAAGGTTTTGGAAGGATTTCGTCTTGCGCGCGCGAATGTCCACTTTACTTTATTTTGTGCAAGGGATTCTTCAAGTTTGGTTATGTTAGAACAAGAAATGTCCACTTTAGCTTATTTTTTGCAAGGGAAAACCGATCGTAACAACACAACCGGATCCGGACCAACCCGTTTTGCCTGAGACTTCCTCACGAAAATGATGAAAATGAGGCTGCGGCCTAGGCGCGGCGGGGGGGTCGCGCACCAGGGGCCCCAACAATAATTATTCTTTAGAAGTAATAAACTTCAACAACAACAACAACAACAACAACAACAACAACAACAACAACAACAACAACAACAACAACCGCGATAGAGGCGGCAACGTCGCCGCCAACGCCGACGACAGCGACGGCCCCGCGTGCCCTCTTGTTCGGCGCCAGGCGCGGAGTGCAGGCCACAGCCCGTCACCTCTTGCGGTAGGTGCACCCCGCCAGCGCCGCGCCGTCTCCGACGCCCTGCGCGCCGCGCGCGAGGGCGCAAGGGGCCGGCTTGCCCGCTGGGCAGGGGACGAGAGAAGAAAAGGGGAGGACAGCGAGGAGGAGGACAGCGAGGAGGAGGGCGACGAGGAGGAGGGAGAGGAGGACAGCGAGGAGGAGGGTGAGGGGGAGGATGGCGAGGAAGATATGGAGGACAAGTGCGAGCGAGGAGGAGGAGGCGGAGGCGGAGGAGGAGGAGGAGAAAGAGGGGGACGGAGAGGCCCCCGGGGAGCGCGACGCGCGTGCCGACGCCCTAGGGGGGCGGCCCCTCGTGGGGCCGCGATGGCCTGACGCCCGCGCTCGGCCGTCCGATGATCGACCTGCGATCCTGGAACGGAATAATGTAGGAACGTGAACGCATGGCTACGTTTTCACGACACCGGATCGGGCGACAAGCAATTACAGTGCTGAGCACATCGATCGTGATGAGGTGCCATACCACAACGAATTGCCCTGTGCTCTGACAGCGTCATGGGGATCAAGCCGCCCTCGGCATCCGAAGCCTGACCAGACTGATCTGGATCTTGACCCAGAGTTGCCTGATCGCATAGCTGGCCCAGAGCTGGTTGCAGTCGAAACGTGTGCAACGCTTAATCGGCTCGAACTCAAGATCTCGCTTAATTCCGAAGCGGGACGAGACCAGACGGCGCGCATGGCGCATGGACGCGCCACGGTATGTGCCAGGGGCGTACTACGGGATGCGCCAAGGGACGTGCCAGGGGACATGGCAAGGGACGCGCCTCGGAACAGACAGGGAAAGCGCCAGGGGACAAGACAGGGAACTCGACAGAGGACGAGCCAGGGGACGCGCCAAGGGCGGAGGGGAATACGCCGTCCCACTCTGGGGCATAAGGGACCCATGTGCTTTCACAATTGTCCCGCCCTGGAGGGAAAACACGGGTCAACGGACATCGTTATTTATCGGGGATCTGTCATGACGGGGGGGGGGGGGGGGGGCATTTTCCTCGAGCGGGCACGCGCAAAACGCACTTGTTCCACGCCGTGTGGGCCTCCATCTTGTTTTTCATCGAGCGGAAATCCGCTTGCCCGGACCCAACATGGCACCAATGACAGATCACACTTCGAAGAGAAGACCCCGGGTCCGCGCCCTTTCCGGGAAAAAACGCCAGCCGAAAAACCGAGGGTCAACTGGACCATGGCGCTAGGCAACTACAAACCGACCTGCCACCAGATACCTGGGACACGGGGCCCACTTCCGCCTGAGCCAAACTTGGTCGCCCGAATTATCCGGGGTAACTCGGGTCCGGGGTAACTCGGGTTTGGATTCCCAAAAGGAACCCGAGTTAGCCCTGACCCGAGTTACCCCTGATGATTCGGGGCTCTGGACGCCCGAGTTATCCGGGGTAACTCGGGTCCGGGGTAACTCGGGTTTGGATTCCCGAAAACCGAACCCGAGTTATCCCTCACCCGAATTACCTCTGATGATTCGGGGCTCTGACAAACGTGTTCGGAGCCCGCACCGAGGCGGAGCGGCGCCCGACCTTCCACCCCGACGGAGAGACAGAGACTCGCACGGGGTCGCCGCAGAGGGCGGCATCGGAGGTCGGGCCGCGACGGCGGACGACAGAGGGGGAGACGGAGGTGGACGAGCTTACCGCGGTAGTGCCACCAGGAAGAGACTGAAGGGGCCCTGGGACACACAAATAAATACACACAAATAAAAAGATTCCCCATATTTTCCAATATTTTCTGGGTTTCTGTCTCCCCGCCCACTTCCCATATTTTCCCATATTTTCTGGGGAATCGACGATTAATTGTGACTGTGTGTTTTTTCCTCTCCTGACTTACCGCGGTAGTGCCACCAGGAAGAGACAGGCCTCGAGCTGGAGGAGAAGGAGGCGAATGACGAGGAAAGGAGGACGGGGGGGCGAAGATGCAGGAGGAGGGGTACCAGCAGCGGAACGGAGGCAGAGAGGGGAGGATGGGAAGGAGCGACGAGGACGAAGGGAGGGATGGGGGAGAAGTGCAGGCTTGAAGGAGGACCAGTGGGGAGGGGAAATGGGGGAAGGATATGCCCCAGAACCCACTGGAGATCCCAAGGGATTCTTCGAGTCCCTCGGATTACCCCTAGAACTCCCCCCTCACTCCAAAGAGGTTTCCAGAGGTATCCGAAGCCAAAACGATCAAACACCAAACAACGCCAACCAACTGTGAGCTATATCCTGCCCCACATCCTTCCCGCTCTCATCCACCTGCTCCTCCGCCTCCTGCATCCTTCTTCGTACGCCTCCTGTTCCCACATCATTCCCCCTTCCCCATCCTCATCCCTCCCACTCCCCGTCCCACTCCACCGCCATCACCACCAATATCACGTTCAACATCATCAGCGTCGACGGCATCTTCATGGTTATCGTAATCGACATCGGCATCGCATCGCTATCGTCATCGTCATCATCATCAGCAGCAGCAGCCGCATCATCAGAAGCATCAGCAGCATCATCACAAGCGTCATCATCATCATCATCATCAGCAGCATCATCATCATCATCATCATCATCATCATCATCATCAACAACATCATCATCGTCACCATCATCAACAACAACAACATCGTCATTAGCAACCGCATTGTAAGCATCACTATCGTCATCACTGTCGTCGTCGTAACCATCGTCATCGTCATCGCGATCGGTATCAACACCATCATCGTCGCCATCATCATAGTTTACCATTAACAACGTCAATATCATCATGCAGGCGCCGCACTTTCACCCGCACCAACGCGAAAACTGATCACACGTGTGCTCGCGAAAGCGGGTAAACCGAGGCATTTCTGGTTCTTGCTTTCCCGAGCGCGCTGCAATGTCCGGCAGCCGCTCCACGCTGAACCTCGAAAAAGAATTGGCGGCTGTGATGTCCCAAACCCCTACCCGGGGGGCTGGCACTCCAGTCGTACACCTGTTGGCGGGTAACCCGGTCGAGCAGATGAGGGAGAAGGTCCCTCGCCTTCTACACCTCTACTGGCACACAGTCGTTACCAGCGCATAGAGGATGGCGGGGAGGAGGATGAGGAGGAAATGATTCCATCGCTGCACGTGCGGCCGCACTTGAGGGAGGTACGGGAGGAAGGGAACTCGCAGGAAGAACAGATCACGATGCTCGGCATACCTGCGCTACTCTGGCAGGAACTGACTCCCGTCACAGCCTCGGTGAAGTAGTTGCGCTTGGGTTTCAGCGTTTTGGACACACGCCTCAAAAACTTGATGACAGTTGTGAATAAGCGCCGGCAGTCCGTGGAGAGCAGGCTGGACGTCTCAGAGATGCTCGGCCAGCCGGCGCCGCTCTACCAGGCGCCACTCAGCACGCAACGACGGACAAAAGGCACATAGGTATGATATGTAGGATTATCGCTGATCATGTTTTTCCCCACATGCTTAGTGGGGTTATGTTTTTTCCCCACATGCTTAGTGGGGTTCTGGTTTTCTTCCATGCCTCGTCGCACCCGCGCTCACTTACCTCACCTCGCTCTTCCCTTCTCACACAGCGTAGCACAGCACAGCACAGCACTGCACAGCACTGCACGGCACTGCTCAGCATAGCTCAGCACAGCTCAGCTCAGCTCAGCACAGCACAGCACAGCTCAGCTCAGCACAGCAAGGCATAGCAGGCGTGGCATTTTCTCGACACCACTGGGGGTGCGCAGGGGGTGGTGCCTCAGCGCGGCCGCTATACACCACGGTCGTCCAGGGCATAGCAGGCGTGGCACTTTCTCGACACCGTAGGGGGTGCGCAGGGGGTGGTCCCTCAGCGCGGCCGCTATACACGACGGTCGTCCAGGGCATAGCAGGCGTGGCATTTTCTCGACACCACTGGGGGTGCGCAGGGGGTGGTCCCTCAGCGCGGCCGCTGTACACGACGGTCGTCCAGGGCAGGGCATAGCAGGCGTGGCATTTTCTCGACACCATAGGGGGTGCGCAGGGGGTGGTCCCTCAGCGCGGCCGCTATACACGACGGTCGTCCAGGGCATAGCAGGCGTGGCACGTTCTCGACACCATAGGGGGTGCGCAGGGGGTGGTCCCTCACCGCGGCCGCTATGCACGACGGTCGTCCAGGGCATAGCAGGCGTGGCATTTTCTCGACACCACTGGGGGTGCGCAGGGGGTGGTCCCTCAGCGCGGCCGCTATACACGACGGTTGTCCAGGGCATAGCAGGCGTGGTCGACACCACTGGGGGTGCGCAGGGGGTGGTCCCTCACGCGGCCGCTATGCACACGGTCGGGCATAGCAGGCGTGGCACTTTCTCGACACCACTGGGGGTGCGCAGGGGGTGGTCCCTCAGCGCGGCCGCTATACACGACGGTTGTCAAGGGCATAGCAGGCGTGGCACTGTCTCGAAACCATAGGGGGTGCGCAGGGGGTGGTCCCTCACCGCGGCCGCTATGCACGACGGTCGTCCAGGGCATAGCAGGCGTGGCATTTTCTCGACACCATAGGGGGTGGGCAGGGGGTGGTCCATGGGCGCGGCCGCTATGCACGACGGTCGTCCACGGCATAGCAGGCGTGACATTTTCTCGACACCACTGGGGGTGCGCAGGGGGTGGTCCCTCAACGCGGCCGCTATACACGACGGTCGTCCAGGGCATAGCAGGCGTGGCACTTTCTCGACACCATAAGGAGGCACAGGGGGTGTTCCCTCACCGCGGCCGCTATGCACAACGGTCGTCCAGGGCATAGCAGGCGTGGCACGTTCTCGACACCGTAGGGGGTGCGCAGGGGGTGGTCCCTCACCGCGGCCGCTATGCACGACGGTCGTCCAGGGCATAGCAGGCGTGGCACTTTCTCGACACCATAGAAGGTGCGCAGGGGGTGGTCCCTGGGCGCGGCCGCTATGCACGACGGTCGTCCACGGCATAGCAAGTGTTGCGCTTTCTCGACGCCAGACGGGGTGCGCAGTGCGCAGGGGGTGGTCCCTCACCGCGGCCGCTGGCTGGCTCGAATATGTCCTCGATGGAGGATAGAAGGCTAGGAAGAGGGAGGAGGTTCAAGCAAGATGGCGCTGGATGACACAAAGGGGAACATTCGCGACGAGGGCTCAGAACGCAGAATTACGCATATATTATAACTTTAACAAACACATAAGATTTAAATTAAGTATGTGGGGCTCCTCGGTAGCGTAATTAGCTCTCACCGCTGGTGATGGCGTAACAAAATCTCACCAATGGCCCTGCGAGCCAAACGTCCACGGGAGGTTATGGCCTGGCACGCGCAGCGGGCCACAAACAAGCGTTTCGCTCGAGACATCCTCAACATGTTCTAAACTAGAAGCGTTTCGCCCGGTACATCCTCAAAACTAATTCCGCCGGCCCTCTTCCCGCCTCGTTCTTTACCGCAAATGATTCCGCCGGCCCTCTTCCCGTCGTCCCCGGGGGGAAAGCCGATTACTCTGGCGACGTACGCAACCCCTGCGCAATCCAGGCAGAAATAGCTTGGGAGATTTGACGAGAAGGCGGCGACGTGACATGGACGCATATACTTCTGCGAGCGGTAGTCGGAAGATTCGCAGGCCCCCAATCAACCGGAAAACGATGAGTAACTAAGTGAATCCCTGAGTCAGAGAAAGACGCAAAGTCCAAAAGGAGACGGTGGGCAAGGGGCTTGAAACGTCGGCGGGGCAGCAACAGCATGACGTGGACCCCAAGGACGGCGAGGCCCTGCTCAGGTCTGCACAGTGCCTCACTCCGCTGGACCCACCAGCAGCCTTCGGAAGTGGAAAGCCCACCAGCAGCCCTCGAAAGTGGCGACAATTTCGCAGATCGCGGCCCCCCAAGGACGGGGAGGTCCCGCTCAATCCTGCGCAGTGCCTCACTCCGCCGGACCCGCCGGCAGCCCTCGAAAGTGGCGACAGTTTCGCAGATCGCAGCCCCCCAGGGACGGGGAGGTCCCGCTCAGGTCCGCGCGGTGCCTCACTCCGCTGGACCCACCAGCAGCCCTCGAAAGTGGCGACAATTTCGCAGATCGCAGCCCCCCAGGAACGGGGAGGTCCTGCTCAGGTCCGCGCGGTGCCTCACTCCGCCGGACCCGCCAGCAGCCCTCGAAAGTGGCGACAGTTTCGCAGGTCGCAGCCCACGAAAGTGGGAACAATTTCCCAGATCGCAGCCCCCCAGGGACGGGGAGGTCCCGCTCAATCCTGCGCGGTGCCTCTCTCCGCTGGACCCACCAGCAGCCCTCGAAAGTGGAGACGGTTTCCCAGATCGCAGCCCCCAGGGACGGGGAGGTCCTGCTCGGGTCCGCGCTGTGCCTCGCTCCGCTGGACCACGAACAGCCCTCGAAAATGGCGACAATTTCGCAGATCGCAGCCCCCCAGGGACGGGGAGCTCCCGCTCAGGTCCGCGCGGTGCCTCACTCCGCTGGACCCACCAGCAGCCCTTGGGGAAGTGGCGACGGTTTCGCAGATCGCAGCCCCCCAGGGACGGGGAGTTCCCGCTGGGGTCGTGCTGTGCCTCACTCCGCTGGACCCACCAGCAGCCTTCGAAAATGGCGACGGTTTTGCAGATCGCAGCCTCCCATGCAGGGCAAGAGGAGACAAGGAGGAGGGGGGGCAGGAGGCGGGAGGCAGGAGGCGGGAGGAGGAGAAGAAGGACGCGACCGCGGTGCTCTATTCAAAACGAATTCCCAACCAAGGAAGGTTGGGGACTAAAAGAGAACCCTGGGCCTAAGCCCCCTCCGGGAACATGATCGACCCACGAACCCGGAAAGGAATATAGAAATGTAAGGCATGGCAACGTTTCAAAGACACCTGATTGGGCGACGGGCAAATGCAATGCTGAATGTATCGGTTTTGTTGTACCTGCCAAGGGCTGTGCTGTGCTGCGCCGTGCTGATGCTGAACTGCGATGTGCCATGCCGCGAATGTGCTCTATAGCGTTGTGGATCGAGTCCTCGTTTGCACCCGAGTCCTGACCGAACTGATCTGGATCTTAAGCTCGAGCTGCCTCAGCACATAGTAACTGCCCCAGAGCTAGTTGACAGGGGAACATGCCGGGAGGACGCGCCGCGGAACGTCCCAAGGGACGCGCCAGGCGACGTGCCAAGGGACGTGCCACGAAGACGCACCGCGGGACCTGCCGAGGGAACGCGCTACGGAAAGTGCCAATGGACGTGCCAATGGACGTGCCAGGAGACGCGCCGCGCGACGTGCCAGGGGGACTCGCCACAGGACGCGCCACGGAACGTGCCAAGTTGCAATGCTGAGTGTATCGATCTTGATGTACCGTGCCGAGGCCTGTGCTGTGCTGCGCTGTGCTGAACTGCGATGTGCCATGCCGCGATTGTGCTCTATAGCGTTGTGGATCGAGTCCTCTTTTGCACCCGAGTCCTGACCGAACTGATCTGGATCTTAAGCTCGAGATGCCTCAGCACATAGTAGCTGCCCAGAGCTAATTGACAGGGGGGCATGCCAGGAGGACGCGCCGCGGAACGTCCCAAGGGACGCGCCAGGCGACGTGCCAGGGGACGTGCCACGAAGACGCACCGCGGGACGTGCCGAGGGGACGCGCTACGGAACGTGCCAATGGACGTGCACCGCGCGACGTGCCAGGGGGACTCGCTACGGGACGCTCCGCGGAACGTGCCAGGCAACATGACAGACTGCAATGCTAGGGGTATCGATATTGATGTACCGTGCCGAGGGCTTTGCTGTGCCTGGGCGACCTGGACACGTGAAAACACGCGTTTCGCTCAAGACGTTCTCAGCACATCCTCATGCTAGACATCCGCCTGGGCAACCTGGACACGTGCAAATAAGCGTCCCGATCGAGACTTTCTCGACACATCCTCATGCTAGACATCCGCCTGGGCGACCTGGACACGTGAGAACAAGCCTCTGGTTCGAGACATCCTCAACAAATCCTCATGCTAGACATCTGTCTGGGCAACCTGGAGGCGTGAAACCAAGCGTCTCGCTCGAGACATCCTCAAGACCTGGGCACGTGAAAACAAGCATTTCACTCGAGATATCCTCTGAATTCGGGTCCCCAGGAGAGGACAAGCTATAACACAGAACAAGCGTGTCGTTCGAGACATCCTCAACAAATTCTGGAACAACAAGCGTTTCGCTAGGGACATCCTGAAATTTGAATTCGCCTGCCCTCTTCCCACTCGTTATTTACCGCAAGAGAAATCAGCCGGCCCTCTTCCCGTCAGACCCGGGGGGTAACAGCTAAAAGAGAACCCTGGGCCTGTGCCCTTTGCGGGAAAAAAAAACCCTGGGCCCACGCCCTCTCTGGGAATTCGCCGGCCCAACAGGCCAGGGGCGTGCTGAGATCTCCGGCAACTGCTATAAATAATACTTCTACTTCGCGCGCGCGGGGCGGCCCCTGGGGGTCCCCGGACGAAAAGTACCCCGGGCGATCCCCGGCAGACTCGGGTCAGAGATGGTTTTCCTCCTGGGCGCCGCCCCCGTGGCCCTCCAGAGAGCCCCAAGAAGGGCCACGAGGCCGCCAAGAGCCCTCCAAGATGGTTCAAGAGTGCTCCGAGATGCCACACGATCGTTCCAAGACGCCCAAGATGGCCCCCAGACGCCCCAAGAGGCCTCCAAGAGCACTCCCCAGAGGGCCCCAAGAGGCAAATTTAATGACTTTTCCTTAGGTTTGGGGCAGATTTTGGCGTGTCCATCTTTTCGGCTTCCCGACGCCCCAAGACGGCCCAAGAGGCCCCCAAGATCGCCTCAAGAGGGCCCAATAAGCTCCCAAGAAGGCCCCAAGATGGCCCAAGAGGGCTCCAAGACGGCCCCAGAGGCATCCAAGACGGCTCAAGAGGGGCCCAAGAGGGCCCCAAGCGATGCCCCAAAGGGGGAACACAAAACAAAACTTCGAGCCCTCGGCCTTAAGAAGCCCCCAGGAGGCCTCAAGTGGCCCCTGAGAGGCCCCAAAGGCCCACCAGAGGCCCTCAGGAGGCCCCCAAGAGACGCTGAAGAGGCCCCTCCGCGGCCCCAAGAGGCTCAGTCATGCGAAATGGGCCGGCGGAATGAGCGAAGCGATTCAATATACACCATCACCAGCATCGTTCAGCGTTCACAACTTAACGCGTTCATCTTCATCATCACCACTATCTTCAATATTATCATCGTAATTATTGTCCATATCATCAGAATCATCTTCATAACCATAATCATAATCAGCATCAGCATCAACATCGTCAGCATCATCATCATAACCATCAGCAACAACAACATCATCATCATCAACAACGTTACCGCATGATCCTGATTGGTTGCACGATGACGGCAGGACTTCGAACGGCCCCACCCCGGTATTGGCCTTCTTGCCAGGGCGCCCGCCGCGGCCGGCGCCTCCGCCAGACCGCTTCTCGAAACGCATCTCCACGAAGAAACTGCCGGGCTTGAAGAACCGCTTCTTAAAGCCGATGCCCTCCACCTGCCAGCAGGAGGGGGGGTCGAATATCGAGTGTCGAGGACCAAACATGATGCGGGAGATCCGAAGAGTTGGTTAGGATCGAGGCTATCCAACGTTTTCTGGCCCCTTCGGGCCTCCCGAAACATCGGGGGAACTCTGAGGACCTCGAGAAGTCTCCAGGAATCTCGAGAGATTTCCTCCTCCTCCTCCTCCTCTTCCTCCTCTTCCTCCTCCGCCTCCTCTGAGAATGAGAGGGCGAGGAGGATGATAACACAGCGTTCAGGATGCTCTAGGCATGTCTCGGGAGCTCAAGCGGCCCTGCTCAACATTTGCCAGACAGCTTGCCATCCCCAGGAAGAGGAGAGGAAGAGGGCTGGGGGGAGGGGGGGAGGGGTGTTCTCAGGTGGTGTGTGTGTGGGAATTCGTAGCGATCCAAAAGATGCGTCGAGTCGCAGATCGATCGATCCGCTCGCGATGTCGAATCAAAACCTGGCCCCTGTACGAGGGGAGCCGCGTCCGGGAGGGGGTGATCGAGGCGATCGGGTCCTGCACGAAGGCATAGACACGACCCGTCGAATCGGCTCGCAAACAGCCTCGCACCTGCCGGATCATTTTGTTGAAGTCCGCCATCCTGGACTCCACCTCCGCAATGTGCAGCAGGCCCCGCGGCCGCAGGCAGCGGTGGGCCTCCCTCAGGAAGGAGGGCCAGTCCGTGCCCATCAGAGCGAGGCAGAAGACCGCCACGTCGATGGACCCGTCGCCGAGCGGCACGGCCGCGAGGTTGCAGGGGGTCACCCGCTCGTTGATCCTCACCAGATCGAGCGAGTGGACCGTCCGGCCCTTCAGCTCCAGGGCGAGCCGTGCCTCGCCGCACCCGAAGTCGCCGATCGACATCTCGGCGGGCACCTCGTCCCGGAGCCAGCGGATGATGCCGTCCAGTGGGTTCTTCGGCCACTTGCTGGCCTGCAGGCGAAATCCTTCGTGGTACACCGACGCGAGAGCCGGGTCCTTCTCGTAGAGCCGCTTCGC